TTACTAATTTCTGCATGTTTTACAAGTTGAAGTCTTGGCTTCCAGTGGGGCTGTAACCTCTAGGTAGAAGGCACCATCTTACCAACTTATTCAGTTTTATTCTATAGGGAATCGTAATATAATCTATAGATGTTGCTTCTTAAACCAAGATAAGTCATGACCAGGATACTGTGTGGTGCAGTAAGGAGTATATGGTACATTATCTACTTCCATATAATGCATGTAATAGCTTACTGATCAGACACCGGGATTAGTACTTTGGGCTGTAACTAATATATCTTGGATCACTTGTTGCTCTAGGTATGAAAAGGTACATCCTGTGGAGCAGTGAAGTGTTTTGGTGTTCAGGCTGGTTGTTGGTACTGTGTGGTTTATGAGTTACAACTGACTCGTAAAGAAGAAGAAGAAAGTCATTGTTTTTGAGGGCCATTTTCTAGATTTCAAGGAGGGTTATTCGAACTTTAGAGACAGTTTTATACTTAATTAGTGAAGGGCTTTTCATATCTATCTATTTGACTGGATTTTGCCAACATCCTGGTGTACAAGCTATCATATGCAACATACAGGCCACAATTTTTAACCGGACCCATTCCTACATAGAGGTTGCTACAGTGCTCCCTGTTACAACTTGCATGTTTTATGATGTTACAAAACACATGTTGAATCTGATAAGATTAGCATTAGATGTCATGCCATCTATTGATTGATTTGCATATTGGGCAATATTAAACAATCTGTATCACTGCATATATTTTGGGCTGTAACTAACCTATTGTGGATCACTTGCTGCTCTAGGTATGAAAAGACGCATCGTAGGGAATATTGAACTATTTTGGTGTGCAGGCTGGTCGTAGGCACTCTGGTTTACGACTTACAGCTGACAGAGAAGATGATGAAAATTGATGTTTTTGCAACCCATTTTCTAGATGTCAAGGAAGGTTAGCTGAACTTTAGAGGCAATTTTGTAATTAATTAGTGAAGGTCTTTTTATCTGTATCCATTTGGCTGGGTTTTGCTGAGGTCCTGGCGTATACACTACCATATGCAATGTACAGGCTGCGATTTTCAACTGGACCCATCCTTACATAGGGATTGCTACCATGCTTTCTGATACTTTAACATTATTTTATAATTTCATCTTTACATTGTAGTGTCAGCCAAACTGGCATTTCATTAATTAGAAAAGTTAAAAGCTTCAAACCTTTTACAGCTTGCCTCAAAAGTTCTAGAGGCATTTGTGATATGGAAGAGGAAGTGACTGGGGTGGGATATGTGGGTGTGTGTGTAGGGTGGGGGGAGCAGTTAGTTCAATATTGTATGTATACACATGGATTTTATGTACTGTCATTCAGCAACAAATGGGTTTAGCTGTTCCATATTGGGAGGGCTAAATATTGTTTTTATTAACTTATAGTTAACTATATTTTTGGTAGTTTCTAATACATGATTCAAGATGTACTTTATGTAAATAAGAATCCTAATTCTGACCAAACCCAAAATTAGGAGGGATAGCTTGAGTTCAGTATGACATCATTCATTGTCCAGCTGGAAATAAATGCTGGGAAAGGCAAGTAGTGTGAACAAGTGAACACATCTAGTAGTCCTTCAAAAAATGTTTGGATGCTCCTTCATAAGTATAAATTATACAAAAATAAAGTAACAGCTGGAATTTCTTCATCCCAAGACATGGAGGAAAGGTATTGGCATTATTGTATAAATGTGTGTTTATGGACAAGATTTCTCAGGGAAAGGTATTGACAATCTTATAAATGTTTCAGTACCTTTGAAAAAAATTTCAAAAAGCATTTAAAAAAATAAATAAATACAATAAACATTTAGGTATCTTAATAAAAATCTCTGGTCTAATGTATTTTTAAGCCTGTGTTGTAATATAATAGTCTAGGAACTTTGAACTTGCTGAATCAAACTATATACTTAACTACCTGACTAATTGTGAATTTCCCTGGCTTTAGATTTTGATAAAGATATTTTATATTTTCAATATAATGCTTTTAAATAAAAAAAAACTTGGAAAAATAGTAGTACATAAGTAAGACTTGGTTGATCAGGTTTTTGGTGTTAGTTCTGAAATGTAAAATGTTCAGTATCAAAATACATATTCATTTGCTTGGCTATTTAAAAACTTTCATGGCTGCTAATTTTATTTTATGTTTTATTTTGTATACCCATTATTAGTTGATTGTCACATGTGATGCTTAACTTGCCATAGTCTACCTTATTAAACAAGAGAATGCATCTGTGTTACAGCATGACTGAAATTTTAGATTACTTGGGAGTACAATGAATGAATTATTTATATGGTGTATTGTTTTTGGACCGACTAACGGTGATGTAGCTATTGGTTTTAATTTTTTCTAGTTTGCCTATTTCAATGCTATGCTACTTCCTTAGACTGCATGTGCTGCACATGTAAATGCTGGTTAGTGCCTATCTGTTAAGCAAGTGCATCCTTATATCCACAAGTGTTTATTTCATCATTTACAAATGTGGGACCTTTTAAGGTATCAGTTTAATTTTTTTATCGGTTTATGGTTTATAATGAAATAAAAGCTGCTACATAATATGCTCTATACCATGGTGATACCCATTACACCTATGACTGTTGACCTGAAATCCATTTCTGTAACATTTTTGCTACAATAATATATAGGCCTAATGATATTATATTCTAGTCCACATTACTGAAACAACTTGTAGCAGTCAGTAGTGTCTAAAGTATTAAAACTAATATAAGTGAAAAGTATTTATCTTATTTATAAAACATAACTTTGACTTGTTTTAGAAATTATGTAGAGCTGTTTCAAAAAGGACCCACTGTCTACCTTTGCCAAGGGACCTTACTTTCTTTCAAGTCAAAGTAATTACTTCCAGGAGAAAAAAAAACACTCAGGGAATTCATTAAGTTAGTTTATTGCCTTTCTTGCAGCATACATACAAACAATACAAAACTATTAGAAATGAACATTACTTGAGACAAATCAAAAATAACTAAGTAAAAGTTTAAAAATTTATAGTTTATCTAAGAAAGGAAGGGAGCTGTATGGAAAGTAGATTACAAGAAAGAAAATAATATACCTTTCAGACATGTTTTTTATTAGTTTTAGAAGTTGGAAATTAAAAAAAAAGAAATGCAGGAAGAAGTTTCATAATTTTTCACATCATTAAATTAAAGAAATCAGTTTTCAAACTGTGAGCTAAAAGTAATCAACAAAATTCTAAGTATTCCCAACACTCTCTTGTATGTTTACAAGATGTATCTGCACAGGTGAGAAATTTAACAATTTCTATCTTCGCAGTAAAAAATAAAATGTGGTTAAAATTATGACCAGCAGTTTGGATTTTTTTTTTAATTACTCTAGCCAAAGCAAAATAAAATTTTAATAATAAAAAATTGTTAATCTTAGATTTTCAGTTATAATTTCAATTTGTTGATCATTTGGGTAAGAGATAATTTTTCCAAATTTGGTCTTGTCATTTTGTCAATGAGATACTGGGTTTGAAAGAGTTAGGATACATGTTTGGTATTTTGTGAGTATTAGAAAAAAAAAAGAACCATTTACTAGTTTAAAATCATCTTTTAATATCATTTTATAAAGTAATAAGAGCAGGGAATGTCAAAATATTTTGTAAGTTATATTTGTATCTTTTAGATATTGATAGCTTTAATTTGACATGTTAACATAAACTTTTTTTTTATTCATAAACCTTTTCAAAAAATAAGTTATGTAGCCTTTATATATTTTCATGTACCACATTTATTGAGATATTCAATGAAGGTTTCTTTCTTGCATCTTCTGAAACATTTATGTACAATATCATATTTTTGGTTAAGTCCAGGAAATTTACTTAAATTTAATATTTAACTCTTTTAAAAATATGAAATATTGTAGTTTATAATAACTTACATTTTTAGCTCCAGCTCATCTGAGAAAATGCTAGTACAGAGAATTAATCACACTTTAAAAGAATGTTATATATGCTGATGCATTGGTGTATCACTGAAGATGCAAGATGTGGCACTCGCCTCCTTGGTGATGTTTATTGTCCATATGTTTGTTTTGCAGCAAGTTTTTGATTATACAACAGTGCAGTGTCATCATTGTTGGATTTTAGCTGTAGATATTTATCAGTTTTTTACAAGGAAATAAATATATTTAGCAATATGAGTAAACATTATAGAGATGTGATTGTACTTGAGGCAGTAAGTCTAGAACTCTTGAGTGTTTAGGACAGCATCTTGCTTTGACAAGCCTATCTAGAACAACTTTCTCAATTAAAATGTGAAGGTTTTGTCTATGAAAGAGACCCCTGGTTCAAAAAGCCATAGTGGTGAAGCTGGACATATCTCCTGGTACCATTAACAGGATAATAAAGAGCTAAGTTGATAAAGGCTTACATGCAGCTAGTTTACATGTAACTTTTGAAATCAGTGACTGTTTTCATGAAAGGGGTGGCTGAAGAAATTGGAGTCAGTAATTCCATTTGACTGTATTTCTCTATGTCCCCCAGTGCAGTTCCAGTGGACTGGTTAAACATGGTTTTGGAAGTTTACACCCATGTTTAGTAGAGGATATGAGGAAGTTTTATCAAGATTTGTAGCCTAATATTGACTTCACTATCATTTGCAGAAGTTTGTTGCAGTGAAAATTGTAGTCTTAGCCAATAATACACAATTTTGCACATTTGATGATGGTGGATATAATTCTAAAGGTGGTGCAGAACCACTTGTATTTACTAAACAAGTTATCATTACTCTAGAATTTGTAATTTAGATATGAGATACAATTTGCAGCTATGACTATCTCATATTACCTATTTGGTTATAGATGGTGTTGCATTTGTTAATATTTAATGTTTAGTACACTTTGTACGTGTATGAATATTGTATATTATGCAGTAGTTTTGCCTCGGTTAAAAGATTTTTTAAACAGAAGTCAATGTATATATATAATTCATAATTTTGTTACATTACTTTGCAGGAAAATCTGAAGGTAACAGCAACCCACACATCTCTAACTATATTCCTTTAAAGAACAAGAAAAATAAGGTGAGTGAAGTTTTATTTTTTGAATACATAATCTAACTGGTTTGACATGAAATGATTACATTTTCAACTGAAAAATTTGTTTTTATTATGTTTCTTGTAATGTTCTGAGGGTGGAATTGCTTTATATACAAAATTTTATTATTACTATAAAGCTTTACATATTTAAAAAATTTTTGAAATTCACTTGATGTTTTTGTCAGGTTTCTGTATGTCACTTGAGAAACTACCAAATCTTCCAAATGAAAGTGTGCTTTGTTGACTAGTTCCTAATTGGGTACATTTTGATGTTGCACCAATGACAACTCACAAAAATTGATCAGTTGCCTTCTACAAAATAATAAATCACTAAGCATAGTAATGCTTAGTATGTAGGGATGGGCTAAGAAAAAATGACTGCTGCATTCAATCTATTGCTCTATGGTGCTTACAAATAACTGCTAAAGTTGAGATATAGCCTTATTTGAGCACCTAATTGCCATTATTAAGTGTTTCACAGCTTCTGAGACTCCCAGTATCCTTTAATTGCATTGCTAAAGTGGAGAAATGGGAACTAGCTAAAAAGCTAAAGTGTTCATCTTTGTTTTGTTTTTCCCACACTAACCAAAAAATTTGTGAAGTTTTTGCAGTGGCTTTAGTATGATAGAACAGCATTTTAAGAGCAAATGGGAAAAGGCTATCACTAAGAATGGTAGTGCTTAGTTTAAGCTAAAACAAAAATCATAATTCTAGTGAAAATGTTATCATTACCCCTTGAAGTACAGTTTTCGTTCAGAAATATGGTGTTCCTTTAAAAAGCTTAAGTACAGTGTGAAAGATGAATTACCAGCCAATAATAGATTAACATTAGATGAGTGTAGCATGTAGAATACTCTGTCTTTTGTACATCATGCAATCGGTGTCGTTGAGGAGCCAACTCCTATATTATATATGAAGTGAAGGAGTGAAATAAAAAAATCAATACACATAATATTAAATATTATTACATACTTTCATAGAATGCACTCACTTTCAGTCAGGGGAAAATGTCACAAAGTAAGTAATTAAAAAAAAACATTTTGTAAATGTCTGTAGGGATGGCAGTGCCAAAAAGAGTGGAAATATAAATAAAGGGATGATACTGCTATAATTTTTCTTGTGTTCTTTCCTTACTGTAGGTTCCTCAACATTAAATCCCAAGAAGTCAAGATTATGACCAGTGATCATTAATAGCCTATTGTATGGGATAATATCAATATCTGAGGTCATTCTACAAGTGTAATGAAGAAACTGATAAAACTGATATGATATTAACAATATATATTACCATTGAATTATAAAAATAAAACAAATGTTCACTTATCAACCTACTTCAATAAAAGTGTTTCAAAAAAAGGTAAACAAGTAATAAAAAGAGCCTTGCAAAACTTAAGTATGATTGATATAGAATGGCAATGCCAGAAAGTACAGAAATAAGGTAGGGATGAATATACAACCATACAAAAATCACTACACAAGTAGCCGAATCTTTCCAATAATAACTTTTATCTACAACTAAATGTTGAATTCCTGTCAATTGCATGAAATCAGGTTTGAATATAATCATTTAAGCTGAATAGTGCTATACAGTTTTACAGTGGCTAATAACCATAAGCTTGTAGATCGACTTTGTACGTACTGGCTACTTATGTAGGGATTTTTTGTATGGTTTTATGTATTCATCTCCACCATGTTTTTTTTTTTGGCATTGTCATCCCTACATCATACTTAATTTTTGCACAATTTTTTTATTACTTGTATGCCTTGCATTGATTTGTGGTCAAGCCAGTTCTATTTATAAATTATGGTAAATACTATAACTTCATGAAAAGAAATTTATTAGCAATGACTCTCAAGGCTTTTTTTATGCAAAGGGAAATTGGACAAAACATAGTTACCTGAGAAACTTTCTGTATTTTGTCCAATAAACTGGGTGTATACATTGGACCTAGGTAGATAGTGACACAAAAAATGTAACTGTGAGCATTCTAGTCCCTGGGCACATTTTTTATTTTGCAAATTAAATAAAGAATCCTTGCAGTGGTTATTAAAAGAAGGAATTTATGTATGAATTCTGAAGTAAGCTTTGTAATCTACCATTATAAGTTCTCTGGTTGAAATATGGATTATGTCAAGAACATACTTAGGAACCTTATATTTTCAGAAAAGTTGTTGTGATTGTTAACTCACCACCAGGTGGCAAGTATTTTAATAAACCAGTTAAGTAATGTGCCAATTCACTAAAGTCTAATAACAATTGGGGATTGTGAGTGAAGAAGCCTTCTTATGCTCTAGTTAAATCTGAAACTAAATAGAACAGTTCTCTGAATATATATACTTACAGAATGTTACTATAACGGCAGTTTACTTGGAATATAACAATGCATGTCAACAGTTTATTTCAATTTTATTTTGAGCAAAGATGTCAATTGAATACATTGATCCATTATTGTATTGTAATTTAAACTAAATAAGTATACCACATGGTTTGTTAGAACAATTGTCAATATCAAATAGAATTGTCATTATTTTTTATTTTTATTTTACAGAGTAATAAATTTGAAGACATGAGTGATTGGCCCACACTAGGTGAAGTTCATTTGAATGAAGTAAGTACAACTTGTAATAAGTAGAAGTTATGTGAATTATATCTTCAGTGATCATCTTTCAAGTGTTAACATTTTTTCAATGTAAATTTTAGTATAAGAAAGTAGTTTGTTAAAAATACATATGTACAGTTTACTCTGTTTTGAGAATTGTGCATTTGCAGTAATTTATAAGCATCTATGTTGTACAGCAGAGTCCTTTGTTTCATTAAATTATAAGCTATTTATAACTTTTCTTATAACTGAGTAAATTTTTCTTATGATATGTCACAAATTAACAAAAATAGTAATCAGACATTATAAACTATTTGACAGACTTGGTTAATCCTCATTATCTTGGCTATTCTGCATTTGTTTAGCTGGACTGTTGAGACATATGTTTATGAATCTATAATTCTTTGCATATGTAGATGGCTGGAATATAAATCTGTTAATCCTATCATGGCCAGTGTGCACCTGTCAGGTGTCAAGTACACACTTGTATGTCAAACTTAAGTAAGATTATCATTCTAACTTTTCAACATCTTAACTCAACTCAAAATATTTTATAATTAATATTTTTATCATCATATAATATTTATATAGTGTAATTCACAAATAAATATGAAAAAAAAAGTTAACTTTCATTTTTGCACAGCTCCAAATTTTTCTTCTCATCTACTAAGCATCTATCATTCCTTGTGAATATAATAACTCATGTCTCATTTTTCAGGTGAATTTCTTTCTCTGTCAGTGATTTTATTAATACACATCTTTGTTGACATCATTTTATGTGTCACAGAATGTGGTCGGAAGAATTATTAATGAAGTTTTGAAAGTAGCGAGAGCAAATGGTTGAAAACATGGTGAAGAAATTTTAATCTGTTTACATCAATATAAAATAAATAAGGTTTTAACAGTAATTTATGGTTTGTCTACATATTGGGTACTCAGAATCTTATGGGATGTTTAAAAGACTTAGAAACAAACTGTAGATCTGGGAATTTTATTATTGTTTGGGAGATAACTTGTGCCTTTCACAGGGATCAGAGATTTTTCTCTGCATCTAAGTGGTTGGTCAGCTGCAAGGAAAATGTGCTTTTTGATATTCACTTTTATGGCTATTTAGGATGATGCAAACTACATTTTTTGGCCACTGGCAAACATTTGCCAATTGTCTTTTTTTTTTACTACTGAAACTAGAAAAGAACTAAAAAGTTACCTTTGCACCACTTTTTATTTTATAATGATATTTTATAAATATTATGAATCTTAAAACAATAATTTCCAGTCTTTGAAAAAAAAAAAGTTTCAACAACTTTTATTCCGTAGCAAATCTAGAGAGCTAAGGGATAATGTGTAGTTATCCAAGATTATGACTCCACACAAGTACCTAATCTCCAAAAAAACGAAAGATACGAGGATATAATTTGGAAAGTGAAGCAATTTGTGACAGGTGAAATAAATAGCCTAGCCATAGTGATACTGTCAAAAAAATTTATTAATGCAAAGAACCAAACAAGCAAACACAGTAAATAAAAGTGACAAAAGTGGGTCTACCTGAAGTAATGATATTTGACAATAACTCTTAGGAGCAAAAGGTAAATGTTGAACGTGACAAAGATGGAACCTTTAAAGTAAAGTAGTTAAGTAAATGGTCTTATTAAAAGTACAACTTCATATATTATTTGTATTTCAGATATTATTTTCAATGAAATCTGGTTTTTAACCATTCTAGGTACTATCATCAGGAGCACTGTTAGGCTTAGTTCTTCAATGTTAAGACTACTAATATTCAAGTGAGATTAGTCCACACTTTCAGGTCTTTTGTAATTATTATTAAATTTGTAATGGTTTCAAGATATTGTGTGTTTCTGAAGCCCCCCAGTGGCACAGCAGTATGTCTGCGGACTTACAACACTAAAAACCGGGTTTCGATACCCGTGGTGGGCAGAGCACAGATAGCCCTTGTGTAGCTTTGTGCATAATTAAAAACAAAACAAAACAAGTGTTTCTGAAAGATAACTTATATTATTTCACATTAACCCTATCACTATAAGCATCCTTTTCTGCACATGTCACGATTTTCTACCGAGTTACATTAAACATTTAATTAAACTACTTTCTTTTCATTGTATAGCAAGAAATGTAGCATTAATATGTAATTAATAATCCAAATTTTGATACTATACAAGTTTTAAGTTCTTAAAGTTTATAAGGCAATATTAAAAAAAATACTGAATTTCCCCTAATATGAGAATTGTGACTTGCTCTCTAGGCATCCCCTCTTCTCTGATTTTTTACCCACCCATTTGAGAAATAGAAAATTTAACATAAATTACTCATTATAATGTTTTCATCACATAGGCAAAGCATAATGTTTATAGCCTTCAATCTTACTTTATTACAGAGCTATGAAATATAAAATCAGACAACTCTTGTCACATCCTCGCTTTGAGAAATTTCTAATAGCTCTCTCAGATGTTTAATACTCTATTATTTATAGCCAATAGAAAGCCAAAGTTTTAATCTATCAATTGGCATATTATACTACATTGTTTTCTGTACAGAGAATTGTTTAAGAGTCCTAGTAAAAATCATGTTATATTATAAAGAAATGGTTGTTGCACATACTACAGTTATTTTTCTAATTGTCTGAACCTTGAATACCCAACCTAAAGTGTTAATTTTTTTCTGGATTTTTGTTTGTGGTTCCATTCAATAGATGGCGCAGATACTGACATACATACCTCGTCCATTATAGTAAGATTTTATGTAATCTAACCTAAAAATTTTCCAAATTTTACATTTCAGTTACTTTTATAATAATAAATAAAGAATACATGTGAAAAACAAGAAATATAGTACTTACCTGGTCTTTTTTTTTTAGCTGTTGACTTAACCCTACTTTTTTTATACTAATGGTACTATTGCACTAAATAATCTTTTATTTAATTACATTATGCACCAAAGAACACAAAATAACAACATACCAAATGTAGAAAATGTCCCATAACTATCATAATTTTCCTGGCTTTCTAACAATGCGAAAAGAGCCATTAAAAACTAAACTAAGTACCTTGATGTGTTTCCATTGGTATAGTTTGAACTAGAAGCAAAATATGAGAGTTTGATTATATCTTTATTGATGTAATTTTTAAATGTAGTATTGAGGAACTGGAGTTTTTAAAAAATCTTTTATTTTTTCAGTAAAGGATACCACTTTTAACCCTTTTGCAACAGGCTTGGTATAATACACACGAGTTCATACACACGTTTGCACATGTTAAGTATTTATACTATAACTTTTAATTCAGTATGTGCATCTTCACAAAATTTGGTATACCTTTAGTAAAGATTACAAGTCTTTTGTACACAAAAATCAAATTTTTTAATGAAGTATTTTTACTAAAGATTTGTTTGTGTGTATATCGAGTTTCGTTACTAGTCCGAGTTGGAAGTGATTTTCATGTTATGATTAAAAATACTATTCTTCATATCAAAAATCTCAAATTCCTTTTGTGTAAATCTTTAAAAACCTCCTAAATACATTTCAAACATTTGTTTTCAATAAAACTACATCTTATCAGTTATTTGATGATATACTGTAGACAAATCCCTAAAGTATAATGAAAAGACAAGTTGTAAAATTAGATGTAAAAGGAGTAGCTGTGCCTCTTTTTCATTATTATTGGTCACAAAGTTTCAAAGTACTTCTCTAATGAGTTTGAAATGCTATACATTTTACATTTATTTTAATGTCAATGACTAAAATAGAACCCTGCTGAAAATAAACCAATAAATAGCTGCTTGTGTCAGTAGACTGTTTACGTGACACCACCTGAAAGCAACAAAGCACGTGCGAAAAGATAGTCCACTTACCACTGCTCCTAGAACAGGATGTCTAATGTATCGGATTATATAGGCTAAAATGTTTTCTTGGAAATTTCAGAGTAATCAAACTGCACTTATAATCTGTGAAAATATATGTATATGCCGACAACAGGATGTGTAATTTATCGGCTTATGTATGTATCCTACAGTGTTCACGACAAGACTTTTTGAAAGTAACAACACTTCACTTTGAAACTGTCAAAATACTTGTTATGTGATTGATGCTCATACATTAAACATTGCAATTCTTTGAATATTGGTAATCCTTTTGGGATGTTTGAATTTAGTGGCATAAGTGTACAAAGATGATATTTGAGCACATGCTTATAAAACCCTATTTCCCTTTTCAGCACTCATTTGTCAACCAATACAAATTCTAGGAACTACTTATCACACTCATTTAGTTTTGCAAGCCTTATAAGTCTTGTCTTTGGAAAACATTCTTACTTTTGCAGCTAAAGTGTAGTTTAGAAGTTCTCTAACAGTTGTGAAACACCTTGAGTTGTTGCTGACTCTTACCTTGAAGTAAGTAAAAATCATTTATAATATACATATACAGAATCAAATACAAAATACAAATCTAACTGTATTAACAATATTTCACAAACTACACTGATGTTTCAGCTACCATACATTACATATATACATATATATTTGCTCATAAATGCTTAAATTTTAGTTATTTTTCTTAACACATGAACAATAAATGAAAATTACTTAGAAAAACAATGATTTCTAGTAATTACGAGAAGTTACGGTGATAGGAAAATATTTTGCCCTCGTGTGCCTTTAGTGCTAAGCCTCGTTTATGTTTTCGAGTGGAGGGTGAAGAAATATAATTTTTGTAGGCTTCAAATGTACATTTTAGAAGAAAGAAAAATTACACCCAAAATATCTGTAACTTGCTTGGGTTTATAAATAAATTATATAAGTGTTAACAATTTTTTTCATCTCTGTTTAGAGCAACAACTTGGTCATCACCATTCAACAGTCTTGCCAAAATTATTATTATCTCTTCCAAGGTCTTTACAAAAAACTGTCAGAATCATGTAAAGCACAACTTGTCCTTTCTATTGGTTATAAACAGACCCTTAAGAAAAGTAGGTGGAACTAAACAAGATGTTTGGAAAGAATGGGGTAGGAGGAGGTGCCACTAGTTGATTTGCTAGATATATTGATTTCTCAGCAAATGAAAGTGGTGGGAGGTTCTAAATTTATATTCTAGCTTGCCAGAATCAAAAATTCATGTTTCTAATTTGTTAACCACTTGTAGATGTATATAGTAGGTGTAAAAAAATGTAAACTGGGCAACAAGACGTGAGGAGGTGCTATGTGACACACAAATCGATATTTAGCTTTATATCATTTATTTATATTTTCTTTTGAATTAAGAAATTAAAACATACATAATATTAAAATTTGAAATACAAGCAATGTTTTGATGCCATTTTCATTGATATATAATAATAATAATAATAATAATAAAGGTACTTAATAAAGTTTTGAAAAGAAATTGATGAAAGAACGTGATATGCGCAGTTAGACCCACCCATTTTGAAAGGGTTAATATATAAAAACATTACAGTTTATATCAGTAAAATGTATGAAAATTAAGAACTCTGAACATTGAATTATTTTGATGCAACAAGTTGTATATGACTAAAAAGCACCAATCCGGATATTTTTCCTGTGCAATACTTCCCAGAAAAATATTCTTTTTTTAGAAAATGTCCACTTTTCCCAATTTTTTTTTTTTTAAAGAGGTATGAATACTATGATTAGTAATTACTAGCACAAACAGTCACCCACAGGACAGCATTTCTACTAGTGAATAATAATAATAATAATAGAAAATGTTTATGAAGTATGCTCACAAGCAACTCACAAGTAGCCTGTGTGTTATGTAATTCAGTAGGGTAATGTATACTACATTGTTCCCCAAGTGATTTACAACTTTCATGTTTGGAATATTAGATAGAAATGGTTCAAAGAGTAATATAGTAATAAAATTTAAGTATAAACAGATGTATATTGTTATGAGTTTAAAGCTATTTAGATAAACAAATGTAGTTTCATGTTAGAATTTCAAGTTATTCCAGAAAGAAAAAAGAATAATTTAGATTTATTTTGAATTTTTTTGGTGATTACAAGGTTGGCCAATTTGACTGAATGGGTACAGATTTAGGATAGATAAAATGACAGTTAATAATATAAAGTTTTACTGAAAAAGAAGTTTGAATTTATTTAGAAGGTTTGAGGTTTTAGAGATTATGCAAGTGAAATTTCAGATGAACAAAAGTATCTTTATTTTAATACGAAAATTACTTTGCACTTGGAGCAGTTTACACTGTGACTCCATGTATTCATGGAGAAATTTTTAGTGAATGTACTTCATTAAAAATTCAGATTTTTTGTCTAAAAATGATTTAATGCTTACTGCGAGCTTGTGACATTTCGTGAAGATACACAAAACATTTTAGAAGTTACAGTAAAGATCAATTTGAGGTACATTTTTAAGTTGAGTCAATCAAGCCTGCAGCAAGAGAGTTAAGTGATAATATATTTATAACTAATAAGTTAACACTCCGATATTAGCCTTTTTTTTCCTTCTTTTGTTAATTTCTTCTCACTTTTCTTCATTTGAAAAAGCTTCATTAATTTTTTTGTGAAATTTGAAAAGTATTAATGGGGGATCCTTTTGAATTGCATTTTTCCATAATTTGTTTAATTTTTCAGTTTTCAAGCTTCTCCAAAATGCAAACTTTATTTCTTTCAAAAAAATCTCTTATAGTACTGTTTAAAATCGCACAGAATACCTTAAACTTCTTTTTTTTTTTATCTATCATTTCCTGGAGATTATAATTTATTTCAGAAAGCTAGATCAGATTTGAAAATAGATTACTTGAAAGGATGCCACCAAAAGGCAAAGAAGAAATTAACTTTAAGGTTTTAAGTATAAATATTGATTTTTGAAAGCTGAAAAAGTAAACAAATTATGGAAAAATGCAATTCAAGAGGACCTCTTGACTGGAATAGTATGTTTACAAAACTTTTAGAAGGTGCTGTAATCGCAGAGAGCAATGGTAATTTAAAAAAAATAAACAAATACAGTGTACATAAGTGTAACTTGTTTGTATAGTATTATTATGCTACCATTTGTATATGTGCAGACGAAGTAAAAAAAAATTACAGTGATAAGAGATGATTGAAGTAAATGTGTGTAGTTTAATTGGATGGTAAAGAACAGGTTAAAAAGTTGCCAAATTTTATATATATTTTATTTTTTAAAAATGATATTTTGTATTTGTGCTCTTAAGCTTTATGGTCTGATGAAGAGTGCTAGCTTAAAAGTTTATCTTCCAGAAATAAAAATATATAAAACTTTTTGTAACATGGTATTAATTTCTATGCCTTTGTTGCTTATGCAGTTAACAATACTTTTATATAATTTTAGGATAACAACATTTGATAGAATATTAGTAATGTTTAATAAAGTGTGGATATTATTCATGTTTTACTGAATTATTGTTGTTTTTGTATGTTTTCATTTTAAAATGTTAAGAAACAACAAGCTAAATGACTGGCAACTTAAAAATTTAAAACATAACTAATATTGATGAAAAGAAATAAGTGTTGATGCTAATGAAAACGATGTTTTGTATAGTAAAAATAAAACTGACCTGTAGTGAGAATTGGTTGTAGCCAAAATTTGGTTATTTTGTTAGTAATCTACCTTGTACTGACACTACACTTACATACAATCTAGTAAATATAAACAATCATTACGTATTCATTATTATCCTCGTTTTCTTTTTTGACATGCAAGTGTACAAGTATTGTTGTTCTAAGAGTTTTAAAATTTCATGTTTTATTATGGGATGATACAAACTTATCCTTTGTGAATTAGGGACAGAAAAGACAAATGAATCAAGATGGTCAGCTAAGCCAGTCTCTGCAGGACAATGTACCAGACTCAGTTGGATCTTTGGTTTCATCCTCTCTTTCTAGTAAAAAGAATGGACCAGTAATACAAAGTTCTCAAGATGATGACGATTCTGCTAAAGAAAATCATGAAGGTTCTGCTCCAGGAACTGATTCTGCTAGTACTACACCAAAAGATAATAAACGAAAAAGTGAGTTAATGTTTTAGTAATTGTCTATTTCCTTTGTATTTAATCATGGTTCTATACATTAAAACTCAATATTGTTTGTTACATATGCAACACTGCATTACAATTCAGGTTACTTTTGACAGGATAGTGTATGGAAGTTGTCAGTTTCCTGGGTGAACCATCATAATTTTTTGATAGAAATATATATATTTTAATCATTTTCAAAAGCTTTAAAATAATGTTTTTAATAAGATGTTTTTATTCAGGTGGATACAAGCAAAAGTGGGTACCTCTAGATATAGACCCTGGAAAACAAGATAGAAGAAAAGCGGGAAAAATTGCCCATCAAAAATCGCCTCGTTATCGAAAGGGAGATGAGATGAGCATTAACAGAGATGAGAAAAGTAAAGAAAAATTGGGATCTTCTAAAGAAACATCTTCAGGAAAAGGTATTTATTGTCATTCTAGTACTATGAGAACAGGAATGTTAACTGCAGCTTAAAGCTAGAATGGATAATGGTGTTTACTGTGCGTTGATGTAGCATTTGATAAGTTAATCACTAATGAAATTTAATTTATGTAAATAGTACAATACAAATGTGACAAAAACATTAATGGTTCCTGTTGTAGAACTGTTACCATTGGTGATATGAGTGATTATAGTGTCTTTTTTAATAGTGCATTAAAATATTTGTGTTAATAGTTTTTGAAGCTCCTAATATGTAGTTTGCTTGATGAAAATGGTTAAAAATACTTCTAGTTTTATCTTTTTTTTTTCAAAACAAAAATCGTGAAACTTATTATTGGTGAAAAGTTATAAAGTTAGATGAGACTTCACTGATAGTTAGGCTTAACAGGCCCAACAGTGGCTCACCAGTAAATCTGAAAGCTTATAAATAAGGATTTGATATGCATGGTGGGCACAGCACAGATAGCATTTTGTGTAGCTTTGCACTTAACAACAACAAACAGACTTAAAATGTTTTTGGGATCTCCTAAGAAAATGAAAACCTATGACTGTAAGTTAATCATTAAGTATTTTGAGTATTATATAAAATAATTTTGTTCCAAGCAGATGTGTCTTAATGTCTTTTGGATCACTTAGTATATCTTTATCTTTGCATGTACACTGAATTGCTCTCTTCCCCATTTCTGTTTCCTATGATATTTATGCCACGTACTTGAAATTTGAAAGGAGTGCATGACTTGTATATCTTAGTTTCTTGACTTTTTTCTTCGTTCTATAACATGTGCCCAATATCGTCAGATCATTATCCTTGTAAGGCATTACTGTGGTAGAAAAACTTCTTATGCAATAATAACAGTAACCTCTACAGTACTGCATTCTGTTAACCCTATGGACACATTAAGGTCAAAGTGAGCATGTCACAACCTTTTTTACAGTTGCATTCAAAATTTAATTTATTATCAAAGTAATAATAGGCTTTGCATGAAAATAGTTTGTAATTCAAATTTTTATGTGATTAGTTTTAACTCTTTAATTTCAAAAGGAAATAGTTAGAAAGCCAGATAAATTATATTAGTTTTAGGACATTCTTCTAGTGCCCGATACACTTTTTGTGTTCTAAAAATGCATATCTGAAAACCTGTGTAAATTTTATGGACAACTAACACAGTGTGAATCAGAGTATATTCCCAAGTACAAATAGGCTAAGATAAGTGCTAAGTTTCTTGTTTATATATATTTTTTATTTATTGTTATGTATTTTAACAAAAGTAAGTAAAATGTAAAAACTAAAAACTTATTAGGTAACATAAGAAAATGTAAATGAAAAAATCAAAAATTTCTTGTGATAACTCCTTTGTGAATGTATATAACATACATGGTTTAACAATGTATAATGTAACCGAATACTTTGTTTACCCTAAGCTGTGTGCTTTCCTGCCGGGTGATGTATTGGTTGTAGTGCTACTGAAGATAGTTCAAAGAACAGTAATAAAGGAATAAAACTGGAAGAAAGCAGTTGTGAAATAGCTAGAAATTTGAGGCTTTTTACAATTGTATAATTGTAAAATTTTATTACAATTTTATAATTGTAATTTTCTGTTGCAATTTATAGCCATTCTAAAAAAGAAAATGTACTATTGATTTTTTTTCATATTTTTCAACTTTTCATTCACTGTAAACTGATGATTTCACTATGGTTAATGTTGGGATAGAGAAAATAAAAGATAAAGTATACAGTTTTACCAGAAAAAAAACTTGATATACATGTAGGAGGTTATTGAGATTATGCAAGTGAAATATGAATACTGTAAGATGAAAAGCAATATTTTTATTCTTAGCATGAAAATCACCTACCACTTAGAATTTATACATTTTCAGACAAGTCCTTAATATAAATTCTTTGTCAAAAGACCTGTTTTTCTGTATGACATACTTGTAATGTGTACTAAAATCCAAGTTTTGCAAAGATACATGTGGTACGTTCAGAGTAAAAGTATGTATAATTTTGTGGTTACATGGTGGTTATAAGGTCAATGACGTTGATGAAGCCAATCTCTTTAGAGTTAATATCTCTACTGTACTTGCTAGTGTAAATAGGATTTCTAGTGTATGTTTCTGATGGATTTTACGATTTATTGGTTCATGATATTTTAGTTCTAAAAGATACTGGAGCATTTTTCTTTGTTACTTTTATTTTTTGTGGCTTCTTGGGATACTTCAGTACATTTATTGATACTAAAGTGCCCAGCTAGTTTGTCCAATGATAGGTATGGTTTGTTTGTTCTTTTGTATATCTTACTCTTGTCTTATAGAATTTATATGAGTGGTTTGTGGGATGCTTATTCCTCAAAATCAGTTGTTTTCTATGCCCTTTTTTCAGTTGCCCTCCTAGGAATTCTTTGAAAAAAAAATTTCTGTCCTTGTACTGTAAAATTATATTTTTCTTTGTTGTAGCATGATTTATTTATTTTGTCCTCTGAAATGTTTGGTATGAATGTCTAAATATGTTTCCCAGCTTTCATTCTTCGGTGGTAAAGGTTCTCTAAAGGGTTCTTTATGATGTTTTATTCTTTTAATTGAAAATGGACAGTTATAGTTATTAAATATGAAATTTAAAAGGTGAACTTATACTGTTGTGAAGTAATTCTTGAAAAGTTGGTTAACCTTTCCAGATGGGTCATGGGTGAAAGGCTATGTCATTGCGTTTGTTGACTCTCATTCAAAATTTTATTGAACTACTCTTTCATGAATTTTTGTCAATAAGTTTGGTATCAAACTGTAGATTATAATTCAAATTTTAGTATTATACCTTACTCAATTTCTTAATTTAAAAGTAAATATTAAAAAAACACAGTTAAGCATCAATTTTTGTGTGTCACGTGGTATGTTGAATGCAGCACTGGTTCATATTAGATGTTTGTGAAGTCAAAATACTAAGTCTGTAGTTTTGTACAAATTAGGAACTCAACTTACCGATACTGACAAGCTAGAATATAAAATATGAGCCTCTTATTTTTTCAGTTTGCTAAGATATTGCTCATGTAATAAATCAAAAACAGTTGCAACCTGGCCCACCTCTTTCAGTTTTTAGAAACACTCCCTTATATACACTTCTATATACTTATGACATGAATAACCAATCGGAATCTCAGAATGTCCCCTAGTGGCTTTCTCAGCCATTTTAACGTCTTTGGATGCCATCTCTTTCATTCGAACCAAGATTTCAAGGAAGTAGGCTGTGTCTTTAGTCTGCTCAAAATTTCATATTTTTTTAGAATGAAATACAACTTAATTACTAAAGCTTAATAAATTATAGTCAAATTCTATGATAGTGACATGGTAATTCATAATTTTTCAGTTATTGAACTGTATACATAAAACCTAAACAAAATATTTTGTTTCATATCCTCCACGTGCAAAATTTTAAAAGGCTTAGCAACCTACGTCAAGCAGCAACCAAGTACAAAGGTCCTAACTAGAAGCGTTAATTGTTCGCCCTGCTTCTTTAGGTAATGTTCTGTGTTTTAAGAAAAATAAGTTTAAGAACTTATTTCAAAGTAGCAATAATTTAATTACATATATAATGTATAATAATTGAAATGTGACTGTATTTTACAAAATACTAGTCTATTAAAACACCGCCAAGACAGGTCACTTTGTAAAGACTAAAGGTGAGTTTTATATTATTGGATATGGTAACATGAGTGCATGTGAGCCACATCATTGTAACTTCTGTATTGATAACCAGGCATGGCTGAAAGTTCAATATGATAAAGATAATAAAATATATATAAATGTATAATGTTATGAGATTTAAGCTATTTAGTCTAAACATTTATGTTTTTGTGTTATAATTTGTGTCATTCTAGAACGAAAAAGGCATAATTTATATTTATTTCCTAATTTTTTAACGTGGTTATGAGATTGGCAAAATCAACCAAACCCATACAGAGATTCGTTACTGAAAATAACAGAAAAAATATAAAGTTTTTTTCTTAAGAAAGGTTTGATACCTATCTGGACATCATAAAGATTTTGCATGTAAAATTTCAAACTTTTCAGATGCACAAAAGTATTTTTAATCTTAAAAATCTTTGCAGGTTGATAGGCAACATGCAAAAAGAAAAGAAAGGCATGAGAAAAACATTGCTTTACATACCTTAAGACTTAAGTAAAAAAAATTGATATTTTGTGTATGAAAGCATTGTAATGTTTACTGATAATCTGACAAATTTCTTTAACATATGCTTACTAATTTAAAGTTATAGCATGAAAACTATAACAAGCACAAAATGATTATGAGGGACCAGGGATCGAGCCTGTGCTGAAAGAGTTAAACTGTGTCCACATTAATAATATCAGTTTGTAGCTAGTAACCATGTATTTCTGTTGGATTAGTTCTCTAAACAGTTTTGTACATTCATCTGTATAACAACAAGTTATGTCGCTTTCAACATTAAAAAATTAGAATTTTTCCTGAAATAATTTGCAGTGTATTTTGATATAATTATATCTAATAATGCTCTTAGTTAATGATGATGTAGCTCATTTTAACAGTATACTTAATTTCCTTATACTGGAGCCAAGAAAGTTCTAGTGATTACATTTTACATCAAATAAACATTCCCAAAGTCAGAAATCTCATTATTTCTAAAAGATATAAAAGTTAGCCATTCTAAAAAAATTACATGATAAACCTCCTGGTTGTGCAATTCACATTTGTTATATCTCAGCAGCTATAAATTTACATGAATTAATTTGGTAAACATTTTACATAGATGAAAAAAGGTAATAATAATGTTATTAGGTATTTGTTTACCAATAGTTTTATCATGTTACCATCACATTTTCTGGATCTTTTCAGCAACCATATACAAATGTTTGTGAGATGTAATTGTCATTTATAGGTATTGAAACTTTGAAAGTTAACGGAATATGGTACAAAATTATTGCTAGTGTATGAAATTTTTTTTATTCTGCTTGTATTAAAATATATTTGGAAGCAAAGTGATAGTATAAAGGATGTCATTGTGGGAACATCACTAGGTTCTGAAGCAGGGAAAAAAGATTCTCGCCAAAGTGGGGGACGTCAAGGTCGTAGCTATCGAGGGGGACGTAGAGGAAGAGGACAGGGAAGAGCTTGGAGCAGTAGAAGCAGAGGTTTGTTAAAAAAAAAAGTTAGAATTTACAGGCTTTTTATTTTGCAAAAAATTTAAGTTCAGGAAAAGCATTTTATGTTGAATCTATAGAAAGTTAAATCCCATGGATAATATCCCTGTGTATTATCTTCTTTGAAACAAAAACTTAAGTTCTTAGTTAACATATAAGTTGACATCATAATGTAATAGTATTTCATTATAATATATATTAAATCAGCACCATAAAACAGTAATGAGTTAAATATCACAATACTGTTATCGGTTCTGGTTGTCAACTTATTGTCATAACGAATAATGTCTGTGGTAATAGCACCCAAATGCATTGGGGATATCCCATATATCAGACAAGATCCAAACGTAGATGTCAATCTAGTCAGCCATCATGGAAAATCATAAAAAAATCAGTCAAATAAGGTTATGAAGCTGAGTGTTTACAATCACAACGTATCACCTTCTACTGCCTTTCACTGTCTACAGGCAATTGTAGGAATTTTTTTTTAAAGGAGAAAAGAGGTGTTTTTTTTTCTATATTCCTGTGAACTCCCAGTGGAGCATAGGGCCGCAACAACGGAAGGTGTTGTTGCACTTACTTGTAGCAGGTTGGTTTTTACGGGGTGGAATTGCTAGCCCCACGCCCAACCCTCCTTTCTCATCCTGGACTTGGGACCAGGCAAAGGCGGAGGTTGGCATGTTTGGTGTGACAGGGATTTGAACCCGCGACCCTCAGATTACGAGTCGAGCGCCCTAACCACCTGGCCATGCTGGGCCACAAAGTATAGGTAGTAGCATTAATTTATTTATTTTGTGTTCGTAATTCATTGATGTTGAGGCTATTAAACGTTGTGTGCAATCCATTGAGATATAGATTATAGAGATTTCTAGAAGGCCTAAGTGATAGACGTATAAACAATGTTGACTAGATGAGTGGAAAGAGAGAGTAAAAAGTCATGGGAAAGAGAAGTCTGGTGAGAGAAATTGCAAAGTTAACCATCGTATGAGTGAAAGGCCTAATGGTTGATATGTTAGAGTGAGATTAATAGTCTGAAAGAGATAAGGAGAATAATTTGTCTTGTCAAAGGGTGTTCTAAGCTAATAGAACCTGCCTGAAAAACAGACTATTGTTTGGAAGGACGAAAAAGCAGACGATTATTTGAAAGCATGAAAAAACAGACAATTATTGAAAGTACAGGATACAACTGCAGTAACTCATGCAACAGCGTAAGTGAATTATATACAGATACAATTGTGATATATAATAGAGAAAAATAGTTCAGCTTGTCAACTGAATTCTAAAGCAATTGTATAGGCTTAAGTGGACTTTTGGCAAGAAGAAGAGAACTGTATAGTGTTTAATATACAACTATGATCTCCATAGTGTAAAGAGTTTTGTACGTACGTTTAACTTGTTTCGAATATGTATGTATATATATATATATATATATATATTATGGAGTGCATGCTGTTCATTTATTGTTGAATTTATCACCAACATGTCGCAGACACCTACTGTAGAAGAATCCTTATCCCAACACATCCGTATACTTTCATTAATATATATATATACTATTAAAAAGTGAGTTCCTAAAAATGCCTATTGCTATCAAAAAATGCTGCTATGAGAGTCCTTATTCTTTCATGAAGAACATTGAAGGCTTCCTTCAAAATACTGTTTACTGTTACTTGGAATTATATTTGGTGGAGTCAAAATAGGGATTTGTAGTTTGACTAAATAATGTCTACAGTATCTCCAGCCTTGTTTGCTTACTTTTTTTACGATCCCTGGTTGCAGATTTTTAAATCCCAAATTTTTTATTTAACTTGTTATTGTATAATTTTAGCAACTCTTGTTGTTGAAGTTACATAATAGGCTTATTCCATCAAGTTATGTTCAGAAAATGTACAGGTATATTTAAAAAAAAAAATTTGCTTTTGTAGATATATTATTTTTATAAGATTTTTATGAAAGACAGGTGGATTCAAAAACAGAATTAATAATTTTTAGTTGTTTTTTTTAATGGTAGGTATTAAAGTATCTGACTGCAGATTAAGTTTTGACTGGTGTCACCGTTTGGGATTTACTTGCATTGAATTGAGTCAGCACTAACTATGCAGTTTTAAATAAAGTCATTAGAAATGATATCTTAAATATTTTGTATTTAATGAATTTTAAGTGACAATTATGTTTTTTTTTCTTAAATAGTTTTACATCACAGCAAATTACATCACTTTATGTAGAATTGGCATGTGAAAAAAACAACAACATATATACAAACTTGAAAACAAATTTTTTGAAAGACAAAGTCTAGTAAATTTCTGAATTGTTTTGTCTGCTTCTGTTCAGTCTAATTATCTGTCATGTACTTTTTTTTATTTACAATTATGATTTTATTTCCCAGAAAAAAAGTCACACAAAAAATTTATAATTATTAATAGATATTGAGTGCATATAACTTTTCAAATTTATCAGATCAATACATTCAGGTTAAATCTATAAATATTTAATGAATTTTAAGTTTCAAAAAATGTTTTCATCATGAGAAGATAGATGTTGCCATCAAGCTGTTTATTCAAATCTGGCATTAGTTTCTTGGTCAGAAAGATGTCTTTAATATACAATTCTGTTATTAAAATCAACATTTCATACCTACACAATTTAATAATACATTCTATATGTACCAATGTTTTGATGGCCAAATTACAGGAACATAAAGATCACATAAAAATAGAAAACTCTACTATCGCAGAACATGTAAAAACAACACGCACACACAATTTTATGGGAAAAAACTATAATTTTAGGTCAACCTTGTGATATTACAGCTTTAAATGTCAGAGAATCATTAGAAATAATAAAACAGAAAGAAGTATTAAACAGAGATAAAGGGCTATCAAGTCAAAGCATTGATATTTGGTGTGATGTAATATAAAGGTTGACCAAGGAATTATGTAAATACAAAAGCAGTGTAATATTATGTGACAGGTGAAAATGTATAGATTAGTGTGTCATGCAGATAACTCCTAAAGATGATGTAGAGGACATCTAAACATTGTACATGAAGAGTGTATTTTTGAAGTGGGGGCCATTCAATAAAGTTTTTGAAAATGTGTAAATATGAAACATTGATTTTAGCTATTTATTAAACAAGTGCCAACCATTCATTCAATTCTGTAATTGTATTAACTGATTTCTTGATACAAAATCATCAGCTTTTGGCATAATTCCACACTGAATAGATGAGTGGTTTCCATGGTTAAGATGTTCTTTTATGTTTAAAAACTTCATAGCCAACAAAATTATATATTCTTTGCAACAAGAAACTGGAAGTTTTTTTAAATCATTGCCTCCTTGCTGACTTAATTTTAGATGTTATTAGAGCTTATGTTTGAAAAGTTTAAAGTTTTATATAGATGGCCAGGTTGGATATACGTTTAAAATTCAGTGTTATTTGTGTTGGTTCTGTTCACAAAATGAAATAACTTTCAATTCACAGAAATATTTTTGGGGCTATCTGCTGTAAATTAAAAGTTGCATGTTGTGAGGACCACTGTTGTGTATTTTGGGCTTGAGTTTTGAAAGAATAAACACTACAAAATGTAAATTTATAGAAACTTTTTTCAACAAATTGTGACCTCATCATATTAATTGCAATAAAAAAGATAATGATACTTAAGATAAACAACAACATTTGTATCAGAAGGGGACACAGATAAATGTTTCGGAATTCTAGTTTCTATCTTCAGTATCTATTACCAAATAAAAGAATTACATTATTCTTAAGTAAATAACTAAATTGCATTGCTGCATTAATGATAATTTAAAGTGAAGGAGTAAAAAAAATACTGTACATATTAGAAAAAGTGCAATTTGAAAGAACACTGCATGTAATTCTATACGTCAACTTTGTAAGGAAACAGGACACAAACTTCACTTATCAAATATCCTTTCCAAGACCAACACTGACCTGGAATTACTGACTAAAGAAACTCCACATTAAAATCTGCTCATACAAATTACTTGTTTATCAGCCAGATTAATAGTGTCTGGAGAGAACTGCTGTAGTGGGGGTTTAGTTTTTAGTGATACTATATTTAATATAATGGAGAGTTTTAAATGAAAAAAATTATTATTCATTGCCCTCCTGTACTGTTAAAGTTAACAACAAAATGGGCGAAAAGTTTAAAGTTAATCACTTGTAATGCCTGGCTACACATAAAAGGAAAAAATAATCTTAAAGTGACACTGCTACTTCATACTTAACCTTCTGTTAGTCGCAAGGGGTGTTTTCGAACCCCAAGGATGTTTGTTAACATCGTCACTAACAGATGGTAGCACTGAGGCAGTTGTTGTTCACAGTACCTTCCCCATATCTCTGATAGATGTACACCTAGTTCCTTCCTTTTTTAACTCAACCGCATTGAGAGCAACATGTATTTTGTTCTTGCTCTTACTTGCAAACACCCCATGGTACTAGATCAAGGTGCATTTCCAGGAAAGCCTATATCTGTATTTCTTTGTTATTCTTAATTCAATTAGTGTTTCTTGAGCTAACTTATAATGAATATGAAGGAATGTTTGCTTTGGAAATTTAATATATTTTTTTGTCGCATTGAGGACAGGCGGCAACATTGAAAGTGAGAAGATTAGACATTTTCATTGATGTGAATAAACTAATGATGTTTTTTGTTCAAAATAACTTAAGAAGATATTTAGTTAAAAAAACATGTTCACTTTTGGAATGGTATTTTTTTTCTGTGTAAATAAATATTAAAATTTTTTTTTTGTAATCACTTCATTATTCCTCTATTAACACTACCCGTATTTTAAAAATTTAGCAAAATGCTATGGAATCAGTCACAATATACTTAACACAATATACAGATATATTTTAGTTATAACAATAAATTTTATTTATTCATTTTATTCTGGGTGGAGTGTGACCCAACCCTATGGTACTAATGTTGTCCAGGAAACCGATGGTACTAACGTAGGGTTTAGCAAGAGGCCGATCAACATTCTAGTAAACTCTTCACCTAATCTTTTTCAGACTGGTGATCCTCTTTCAGATGTTGAGTTCACACCTGCATGTCAAATTTCAAAATTTAAGTAAAAACAATATTTCTTACTTTATTTGAACAAATCTTTGCTCAAAAACATTTTAGAATTGATATTTTGTCATTTTGCAATCTTTTTTTTTGTGTAGTTTGCATATAGAAATGGAAAAAGTTTCGAACTTACAAATGTACATAAATTTGAGAAGTCTAATCTGTAAGCAATTCCCCAATTTTTTTTAGAATGTTTCTGCCCATCCTCAAAGCATAGGTTTTTATTTTACTAAGAAACTATCAATCATCCCTTGATAATTACAACTAAGCAAGTCTTGTAGTTTTCATGATTTGTCTTTCTTGTTTGAGGTTTTATGATTAAAATGCTTTTATCCCACCCATTTATCATGTCACAACATGTTGTTTTAACAACTCTTAATGAATCTTTATAATTACGTTTACAGGTAAGATTCCTCAGAGCTGCTTAAAAATATGAGTTTGAGCATTTTAACATGAAAAAAGAAAAACAATTTTAAAATAAGTTAAATTAATATTTTTATTTAAATTTTGAAATTTGATATTCAGGTGTGCACTTGATACTGGAAATGTGCTCTCCAGTCTGGAAAGGATGAAATGGACAGTTTTTTGGTATGTTAGTGTTCTCCTTCTGCAAGTAATCAAGATCAAGCTTAAATATGAAGTAGCATTGTCAATTTTAGGTCCTAGTTTTCCTTTTATTGTAGTTGGGCATTGCAAGTGATTGACTTCATTCACACCTTGCTTCCATTTTCAAAACGAATACTCACATCTGTACACAGACAGCTATTTCCTCTATTCTGCTTGAAAGATTTGCATGAGATGAGCTTTGTGAAAATTCCTACCTAAGTTTGTATAAGTGAACTTAAGCTACTATGTGACAATGTATCATGCAGCAAAATTCTCCATCAGTAGGAGTAGCGACATGCCTCCATGCCCAAGTATTCCCTGTACATTCGCACATGAGAATCTTCATTCTTTTTCTCAGCATGATCGTATTCAAACATGTTTTGAGTTTGCCGAGATTTGTGATTTTTTTTTTTTCTCGACTATCAAATTTCAGTTTGATGGAGTTTAATATACTTGTTGTTATGTCATATATCAATGTGAACTCTATCTCTAATAATGTGGGTGAAGAAAACCCTCACATCGAATAATTTGTTAAAATTCTTTATGTGTGGAAGATGACAGCCACGTGTATTTCTTTTTTTTGAAACTTATCATTACTTTCCTAACTCATTTTGTATTTAATATGAAATTCAAGAATCAGTTTTATTGCTGTAAACATTATAAATTATCTATCATTTTGCATAATTTTATACTTTTGTGTTTGTTTTAGGTATAAAGTAGTGAACAAAAAGAAAACTTCTCAATGATCACTTTATTTTAGAAAAGCTGACACTTTTTAGAGATTTTTCTGTATTTTTCTTTTATTTCAGTAAATTTAGATTTGTTTATATATCCTTTTGTTTTTTAGAAAAATGGTGTTAAAGCTGATCATTCAAAAAAGGAGTTATTTTTAAAGTATTTGAATTAACTTAATTTTCTGTCATTTAGTTGCATAAGAACTGTAATACTTATATTGATTTTTAATATTGAATCGAACATCCAGATTTTAAGATTATGTAAGTTGTTTTAGCTGATTTTGTATACTGTAAACAGTAGGTAATAAATAGATCATGTAATTTATAAGAAATACATGTTATTACCTACATCTTATTATCTAAACATAGTACACAGCTACTTTCCTTTTCTGAACCTTGTAATAATATTTTATTTGCTGGTGTGTGTGAAACTTTACAGGTGCCACCCAAGAAGACGTGCCTTATTTCAGTGTGGACACAAATCCAACCACTTCATTCATGACGCCATATTTGGGAAATTATATGTTTAATAACACTTACATGCAAGTTGATGAAACTACACTGAAAGATTACATAAGAAAACAAGTGTAAGTTTCAGTTATCATTGTGTCAGCTGTATCATGATAGAAATACGTAGATGGCTTCAAATAATTATTTATAGAAATGTAGTTATAGTCAGTTGGTACCACAGAAATTGGTCTATTATAAGCTCTAGTAGCATACTTAATCCTTTTCAGCTTAGTTTTTAATGTGAGCAAATGACCTTGTTAAGTTTTAAGAAATTCTGTTTGATCTCATCATTTAGATCACTTACAAAATATAACTAGCTGAAATGTTTAGATTTATAATTTTGTTTTATTATAGATGTTATTAATGTGAATAACTTAATAATAAAATATAAACCACTAACCTCCTTTCCCAACAAACACACACACACACATTGTAATTTGTATTTGGAGAATAGAAATATTTAAACACTCTACCTATGTTGATAAAATTGTCAGTCTTTGGTATCTGTATGTGTTTTTTACTTGTTTTTTTGTAACATGGCACAGAAACTGTGAATTTTTTTTATTTTGATGGTGTTACAAACCAACATGTAGCTAATTACACTTTCATTTTTTTTGCAATTTCTCTGTTTCTGAAGTTAACAAAATTGTAAATATATCATCTGGAATCTGTTTTTATTTCCTTGTTGGGAAGCTGTTTGCAGTCCTTTTATGACACGCCTTTAAATAACCTAGCTATATCATTGCTTTGTATTTTTCTTTATTGTTTAATAATGGTAATAAATTAATTTTATTCATTCCCATGCTTTTTTATTTTGTTGAAGTAGTTACAGTGACAGTTGCTTTTCAAAAACTCTTTAGGAGTTATTACAATAATTTCAAAATTATAACATTATTAGGCCTGTGGTTGTATTGTTGCTAATAAGCATATGTAGAAATCTGGCTTTTAGGTAAATGATTATGGGCATATTTTGTAATGTCATGCATGTTATATGGATATTTTTCTCTCATTACTATCATGTTTTATGTTAGAAGTATGTGTGTTTAAAATATTTTGAACTTGTGAATTAGTAATTTTTTGTTAATGCAAAAACAGAATGGGTGCGGGTTGGCCCTGTTGTTGAGCTCTGGATTTCAGAGTTGGTTAGGTGGGTTTGTATCCATTTCCCTATTTTTAAGCTCTGGATGTGTTATAAGAGTGAGACCATAGTGTGGATGGTGGGTAGAATGATTATTTAGTGACTTTCCCTGTGATCAGTAGCTCAAAATTAGCAGTGGCAGCAAATATCCTAAGTATCTCTACCATAAATACAAAAACAGAATGGCAGTATGTTACCACCTGGTTGGAAAATTGTTGAACTAGTCACTTTTAACAATATTTTATCTTTAATAACTCATAAATGCCACTGTATCAGAAACACTGGCACATTAAACATGACCATTGAACATTTTTGAAAGTGATAGAAATTTAACTTAAAAAGTTTTTTTTGTTTTTATAAAAGTTACATTTATACACCATTTAAAAATTATGTATTCTCCGATCTCTTAAGCTCAAGCTGGGGGAAGGGAAGTGAATCTAGTAAGACTCTATAGTTTAAAATTACCAACAGGAGTTTTGACAAAACAAAAAGGAACTGCCAATGAAGTTTCTCCAACAAAATAAACAAACATGAGGACCAGTATGATTAATTTATTACCTTTGTATAGAACATAACATAACCATGACATCGTTAAATTATTTAAAGACATTGCCATAAAGAAAGGATTCTGACATAAAAATTTATACATTTGCAATACATATAATTAAAAAAAAGGGGGAGCTCTATAACAGATTATGAGAAAAATATAATTCTGGTTTTCAGATGACTTTACTATTTTGTTAGCTTTAGAAGCATGGAAGGTGTAAAACAAAAATTTAGTCACATTCTTACTTTTGACATCACTGACTTCAAAATTTCATTATTTTCGATTGTTTGAACTAGAAATGTCCAACAAAAAATTATAAAGATCACAAATTTGACGCTTTGTTTCACATAATCACAGACTTTATTTATACAGTTGGTAAGTTAAAAA